TTTATTCTTCACTCAGCGGCGATGAAGAGTTTGTTAAGGTTGAAGCTGTAAGTGAACTCTTATCTTTTAGTTATCTAACGTATATCGCTCTTGTTGTGCAGCACTCCTAGGTGTTTTTAGATGGGTGTAACAGGAAAGTACTTCCTTGAATGCTTGTTAATTGCTTGTCCATAGTAAGTGTGCAGTATTTTTTAAAACCAATGACTAGTGATGCAAATTACATGTGTGCATATTCGATGTCTTTTACTAATTTATTTTCACTAATTGAAGACAATCAACGGAAATGATTAAACTCATGGGTTAATAATAAAGGTCCGAACAATATACAGCAAACATTCTGCTGCATTGTAGGTTGCGTAGTGTACTGGTAACCAGCATGTTGTTACCCTCTTATGCTCCAGTTTTGATATTTCCCGTTTATTGTTGTTTGTAAGAAGCAAGCCTACAAATCCAAATAACCAAATGTGTAACCAGTAACGCATGCTGTGGGGTGGCGGGTATGGGGGTGGCCGGTGTACTCTCCTCCTCCTTCTCCCACTGCTGCAGCTGTCGCTGAGGGGGGTGGTTGTGTGGGAGACTCGGGTTTAGGGTTTAAGGGGGGTGCGTGGGAGTGCAGCTAGCGGTGTAGCAGTGGGTGTGCATCAGGGGGGTGGGACTGTGTGCGGGAGGTTGAGTGGAGGTTGTCAGTTTGTCGTTCGCAGCACCTGTAGTCCGGGGCGCTGTCCCGGTAGCCCAGTCGTAGCCAGCTGTGCCAGCCGCCCGTGGGTCTGTTGCCCGTCTGCCGCTACTTGAGCCGCGGGGCCAGTTACTCCAGTAGTCCGGAGCGCTGTTCCGGTAGCCGCTGTGCCAGTGTAACTCCTGTTGCCCGTGTGCCTGCAGCTTCAGCCGTCGCCTCCTATCTCCTCTCCCCTCACTCTCTCTCCTCCTCCTCACTTGCCCGTTGTGACTACCACTAGCTCTGCTCATAATTGTGAACTCTAAACTATCTCTTCTTGAACTTGTGCTCAGAATGTGTGGTGACATTGTGATCCACCCTGAGCTTGTACTGCTTTGCCTGCTCTGCTGATTACACCCCACTTTGGCTATGGGGGTGTGTCAGAATATTATCTTATTGTTCTAGCCTGTAGTGGGGTGCTCTATAGCGAGTACAACCCTTCTAGGGTTTGCTATTTGTATCCCCATTTCTGCTAGTTCAACTCTCTTTCTTCCTTCTAATTTTGTCAGTTATCTAACGTATATCGCTCTTGTTGTGCAGCACTCCTAGGTGTTTTTAGATGGGTGTAACATGAAAGTACTTCCTTGAATGCTTGTTAATTGCTTGTCCATAGTAACTGTGCAGTATTTTTTAAAACCAATGACTAGTGATGCAAATTACATGTGTGCATATTCGATGTCTTTTACTAATTTATTTTCACTAATTGAAGACAATCAACGGAAATGATTAAACTCATGGGTTAATAATAAAGGTCCGAACAATATACAGCAAACATTCTGCTGCATTGTAGGTTGCGTAGTGTACTGGTAACCAGCATGTTGTTACCCTCTTATGCTCCAGTTTTGATATTTCCCGTTTATTGTTGTTTGTAAGAAGCAAGCCTACAAATCCAAATAACCAAATGTGTAACCAGTAACGCATTTATTTTGCAGTCAGGTAACGAAGCTCGTTACCCAATCAGTTTCACCTGTACGCGAACTGTGTGGCATCCCGTGGTTTGATGACGTTGGCCAATGTCTATTGGTCCAGGCAATTTCGATTGGCTTACGACTTTCAGTTCCATCACACAGGAGGGAATGAGTGCCTGACACGTGTATTCGAAGGTCGAAATCATATTCATAGCTACGCTGAAGTAGCTTTGAGAGTGCTGAGATGTGCGGCAGAGATTAGAATTCCGTGTGCTGTGGAAGCGAAACCACAACCAAAGTTACGCTGAAGTAGGTTTCACATTTTTGAGATGTGCGGCACAGATTCGTCGCCACTTTTTCCCTGATGTGTCGCGAGCTCAAGAGCAACTTCAATGTAAGTTTGCCAGCAACCCCAAGGTAGCTCACTCCAAACCAACCACAAAGCTACCGCAAACTTGCTTCGCCGTAACTTTCAGAAGCTCAATTTTTTGGGATGGACGTATCTTAAGAAATATCGCGAGTAATGGGAAGTAGCATACTCACGGGAAGATTAGGCATGTACTAACGGAGTAGGTCGAGATCTGCGCGATTGACTATCGTATTCCTTTCTTACGCGATCTGCTCATGAGCAGAGAAATTCGAGCAGATGGGAGGACATGAATAGAAGGGAGAACGAAGTTGGTGCAAGACAATGTGGACGGCGTGTTTGAGACTTGAGCTGACGTCCTAATAACAACACTAGGTTCGACAAATGACACAGCGACGGCGCAGGAGAAACATGTGTGGAACGGTGGTAGCGTGGAACGGCTGATCCGAGACACGAGGCTGTCACTCCGTTGAATACTATCAGATCCACACCTGCCAACCCAGGACGAGGCTGGCTTTTCGATTTCCGTGACCTATTACTATAGATTTCGCATATGCAGGCATTCCGTGTCGCGAGTTTAAGGCCGTTGGGATGAAGCACAGATCATGACTGGAGCGAAAACAACGGCATGAGAGCCACGCGGCAAGAGCAGCAAGCTTGTTTCTTCTGGCATTCGCCACAAGTCAACCTAATAAGGAAAACCATTGAGCTGTAGCAGTGCTGGTGTTTGAGGGATGATGAAAGGGTCCGGATGCTCGTCCTGCGGATTTGCCTGGGGAAAAATGCTCGTCACGCTCGTCTCGTCCTGGGAGTTGGGATGAGTTGAAAGTGGGCGCAAAGCTGGCGCAAGGCTGCGCCGAGTACGACATCCCCCACCGCCCCTTGTGCACTGCTGCAACTGCCCGTTTCGTTCCAGTCCTGCCCGAGTTTCGAATGTTTGGAGTTTTGAATTGTGATGTCGCGAATTCGCGATCATCGTCGATGTAACCACTTAGACCGGCTACTGACGCTGTCCGTTCGCCCGACCGGTTGCGACCTAACTGTCTGAGCGACGTCGTACGACTCAAAATCGGGGATCCGATATTGGGCGACTCCCATTTCAGGTCAGTGACTTGATTATTGACTTGCAACCTAGGTGGTATTGCCAATCCTTTCCTACACCTGTTTCTCTTACTCGATGCTTAGTTACGAACGAACTTTGATCTCGGCTTCGCCGTAAAAGCACATCACTCCATCACGTTAATTCACCGTCCAGTCGTTTTCGTCCACAAACGACACACATTCCCGCCCGCTCGACCGCTATACAACGAATAATGAGAAACATAGGTTATTGGTGGTTAGTGTGCGCCAAAATATTTTTTAACCTTAGCACACTTTTTCGTAGATGGTGTTGAAAAATCACTATACCGGATAGTCAGTGTGTTGTCGATGTTCCCGCCCTGACGCAACCAATGTCCGTCGATGTCAGAGTCTGACCTCTGCAACATCACTGCTCTGCATCCATCGCGGGTCCTACCTCTCTGCTGGCACCCAATCGACACATCGGAATCTGGCGGGAGCGAACAGATCTGCAGAGGAGTGTCCATTGCAGTTATGCTCGACGCGATGTGTGGGGAATGGCCGATTTCGATCTATGTACCGCAGTTTGCTCATTGCTCTCGTTTGTTTCGTCTCTCGTCGTGTGCCATTGTTTCCGTGAAACATGCATCATTGCCCATTAGATTGCGCGGCATTTGACATCGACTTTCTCGTCTGCACATTTCTAGTAGATTCACGACTCAATGGTGCATGGGAGATCGTTCGTCAGACTGATTTGTTGCACTCTCTAGATTAGAAGTCCAGGTGTGGTCTACAGAATTGCAGACGTCGATGTCTTTGTTAGGGGCGGGCTTAGTCTAGAGTAGTGGTAGACTAGAGCTCACTTTCATCTTTAGTAGAGTTTCTCACTTAGCCATAAGTTAACCAGTTCATTCTAAACAATCTCGCACAGCGTAAACTGTCGACCTTTTTCAATGTCGCCCATTCCCGTCTGATTCTACAATATAATAATGGAACAGCATCAAGAAGCTGGTTGGGTAAACGCTTCCCAACCAGACGATGAGCCGGCAGATGTTAACGACACGGATCTGCCAAACGTACCCGAAGGTGTCGACCTTACGGGCGAGGCTCATAATGAGGAGTACTTCGAACCAGTCGAAGTCTTAGATGTCGAGCAGGACATTCTCGCAGATGGAAGGCAAGCTGTCGAAGAGGAGGACAGGGAGAACGAGCGATTTTACAACGCTCCGGAGGAGCTAGGAGCTACGGGCGTCGAGCCACCAAACGTACCTGACCTCAATGCGCCGCCGACTTGCGACGGAGTCCAAGGGGAGCACCCTAAGGAAGTTGATCTTTCTGACGAAGATGGGGCAAGCGGGTCTTCCACGAGTGGGTTGCCAGCATCAGACGGTGGGCGTTGGGGTCCGACAACGGATTTTCGTCAGCAGAATCCGCAGGCAGATTGGAGAGACCCTGTCAACATCCCAGCATCGGATAGCGGGCATAGGGGTCCGACAACTGATTTTCGGCAGCAGAATCCGCAGGCTGAGTGGAGGAACCCGGTCAACATCCCAGCGTCGGACAGCGGGCATAGGGGTCCGACAACGGATTTTCGGCAACAGAATCCGCAGGACGAGCGCAGCAACCCTGTCAACAACCCAGCATCAGCCGGTGGGTTCAGAGATCAGACAGCGGGTTTCCAACGTCCAATACACAGGACGAGCGGACGGACCCTTTCGACCGCCCTCTTGCACCCAACGTCGAACGTGAAGAGGGAGGGACGGATACCCGCCGGCGCTTAGACTGGGATCCAGACCAGCCTGTTCCTGGTATCCGCCCTGAAATCGCAATGACACGAGAGAAAAAGGAAGCAATCACTCGAGCATGGAAGCACGTGATTGCACGTAGGGATCAGACGAACAACTGCTACGTGGGTTGCTGGTGGTACTACAAGAGATGGGTCTTCCTGCTGATGGCACAGTTGCTCGATGTTCCGGATGAGGAGAGGCTGGACCCCGGAAACCCGGACGAAATTGGGATATTTCTGGGCGACAACAGGGGACAGGCCTGGGACGGCGTGGCGAAGAACGAATCCCACCTGCACGGGCCGAAGCTGACTTTGTGGCGGCTATGTCGTTTCATGGAGTACCTGTTCAACGAGACAGAGGACCAAGCGAAGAAAATGCGGGAAGGTCGTCAGATGCATGCGGGGAAAGTGCCGAAGGCTTGCACACCTTCCATGCTGAAGGCGAAGATGAACGCGATGAGTTGTCTCGGAGAGATCGAAGGACGCCTTTTCAGCTACTCTCCCTCTCGTGTGACGGACATGACGAGGGAGGCAAGGGGTTTGCTTCGAATCAAGCTAGCCAACCTCAGCAACAAGCAGATCGAGTGAGAGAAGTACATGATTGGTTTTTCGGGTACCTTTGTGTTGCTAAGACGCTCACATGTTTGTTTCTGTTTGTTGCAGCGAGGGTTTTGAACAGACGCGCGGATCACTGAACGACGTGTACACAGCAGCGCAGTACAGGGATCTGTTCCACAAGGTTCTGCCCGAATGGAGGACAACATACTTCCGCGCCAGCGTGCATTTCCTATCCGAGGGATTGTGGAGGGTTCTGGCAGTGTCCGTCATGATCATGCTGGCGCATCAGATGCTGGGCAGAGGGTGCAGTATCCGCTCCCTACGATTTGCCAACATGTACGTCTACGAGACTCGCAGCACTTCTCTCCACGACGAGTTTCTAGACCTTCCAGTCATGGTGTTCGTTTCTCGACAGACGAAGAACAATCCCACGAACCGTTTGTCCCACCAGTATGTGGCCAGGCACATCGACTACAGGCGGTGCGGATACGGTGGTGTCTTTCTGTGGATCCATTTCCTGTACGACCTTGTCGAGGTCCGATACAAGAAAAATCTCATTCCACCGTTGAAGTTCGACAAGAACACGGACTGGTTCAAAAAACACATCTTTTTCCCGATCAACAAGCACACCGACAGATCACCCCAAGAGCAGGACCCGATAGAATACAAGACGCACAACAATTGGATTGGCTGGACGATGGGTAAGGCGGGATGGTCGTCGAGCAAAGTGACCCACATCTTTCGCAGGTCCGGGGCGCAGGGTCTCAGCGACGACCGGTGCCCTGACGCCCTCATTGCGAAGCTGGGAGGATGGGAGCAGGGAGAGATGCGGAGGTCGTACCTGTTGGGCGTGCCTTTCGAGCCGGTGCTTTTGATGGCGGGCTTTTCTGGCGATCCCGGGGACTACTACATCGGCAGAGCACATGCCAGACTAGCGGACGACACCGAGTGGGAAGAACTCCAAGAATTGTTCCGAAAGCACATCTACCCATGGCTCGAAGAGGAGATGACCAAGGTGCGTCATGAGAGCTGGCTTCTTCGTTTTCTCGATTTTGTCTCTTCAACTGTTTCCGTGGCGTTTCGCAGGTCGAAGTGTTCAACAAAGGCAAGAAGTCGCACGAGAAAAAGCTATCGGCTGAGCAGTTTCTGAAGGCCCTCCGTGACCATGGGCGCGCAACGGTTGCTCAGGACCTTGCGATGTTTTGGATATTTTGCGAAAACCCCAAGTGCGAGAAAGAGTTCACTGGTGAAGGGCGTGCGTGCGAGTGTACCCGTCATCCATACGCTGAGATCTCGCCTCTCTGCAAGGAGCCCTTGTTTCAAAAATGGGCCAACATTGTCGCGAACATGGACGAAGAAGGTCGACGTCTTCGGAAAGATGTTGGCCATTCTGCAAAAGCGGTAAGAATGGTTTCTCTGTGCGGATTGTGTTGGTGACATCCTGAGCCCCGCGATTGACATTTGGCGTTTCACGGGTGCAGGATGCCATCTACCGACTCCAAGGAACCCAGAAGATGACCAAGCTGCAACTCCAAAACCAGGAGCTCATGGAGAATGCGGGAAGGCTGACGGCGGAGAACGGTCAGTTGAGGATGGAGAACAAGAGTCTTCACGAAGAGCTTGAGCTGGTGAAAGCGGCGTTGGCGGCATTGCAACGGGGTGACGACGCTCCGCCCTGTGTTGCGTCGAACGGAGGGTCTGCCGATCCAAAGACGGAGGTTTGCGACGAGAAGCCCGTGGTGGAAACTAAACAACGAGAGGCTCAGAGGCTGTATTTCGCGGCTGTCCTCGCCCCATGGCTCACATGCAGCACGCTCTCGGACGCGTGGAAGCTTTGGGACCGGGGCACTGGTAGGATGGACGGCAGGACCATCCGCGATCTGGCGAAGTCTGGAGACTTTCTCGCAACGTACTCCGAGTATGGGAACCAGACACTTCCCAAAAACACGCGTTCCAAGCAGTTGGGCCGAAGGAGGAATCAGATGCTCACCATCGACAGTTTGCGACCAGATGACTCTGAAGCCGCGACTGCCTATGCGTTGGAGCTCGGTGACTGGTTGCTAGGGCAGTCATCGGAGAGCTCGTGAGGTTTCTACGCGAGTAGTGTTTGTAGTGGGTTTAGATGATGTTGTGTTGTAGAATTTCATGTAGTTTAGTTAGTTTGACCATGAATTCCAACATGTCTGACACTATGTATTTCACTTTCCGGTCGCGTAGATGTTAAGCTGTTTATGCTAAACACGCATTCAGCGTGTACAAAAAAGTTGATGGCAGAGCAATTTTCATGAACGAAAAGGTAGATCCCCCGGACGATTTCGATATAGAATGTAGTGTGACATTGTACGTAGGCTGGGTGCGCTACTAGTCCTTAGGATGCTGGCGCTTACGTGGGCTGTTCAGAAGCAATGTGGCGAAGCATGACGCAATGTTACAACCTTACGGTAACTACCCGCAACAACAGGCGAGAAACATCGCCACCAATCAGATAGCGATCGCATTGCGTGCGTTCCATCGGAGACCACGAATTGACGTTCCATGAGCATCCCAACCCCCATATTCAAGAGGACGGTTAACACATTTATAGCATGAGCAACACCAGATGTGCTCTTTACAGGGCAGAGTTGTCACGCTCACGTTGATGGCGGAGACGGTAAACGCGTTGGGGAAGCAGAATGCGGTGCAGAGGCCATTTAGGTCGTCTGGTTTTTTTACTAGACGCACGGCTAATGGCGAACTAATTTTTGGGGCGAACCAGTTTGTGGGCGGGAGACGGCGCAGCATGGGAACCCACATCGATGTACGGAGTCGCAATTTCACTGTCGCCATATGCTTAAAGGCGTACTTTCCAGATACGGACTTGCTTGCGTACGGCATTGGCCACGATGACGTGATTGCATGGAGAACCTCCTTGATGTACGCAGAGCGAATGCCAACGGGGATGTGGAGTGTGTTGCACAACCTGAAGGTCGACAGAATCGATAAGTGAGGACGGGGTTTCTTGTATGCATACTTGGGTAATGAGAGGTGTATATCTCACTCGAAGCAGGTTCGGCAAATTACACAACTGCCCCTGATGTGTCCGTTGCTTGCGTATTGTCTTCTGGTTTCCTTGACCCTTCAGCTTCAGGACGTTGGCTAATACAGTCGCATGGCGCCAGATGGCGGGGGACGATATAGTGACAGCACTCTGTGTCGCAGCTGGGCGCACTGTGCTGGACGCCGAGGGGCGCGGCGTGCCCCATCCGTTGTTTATATCGACAGAGTTGTTTGCAGCCGGCGTTACAGCTGCGCTCTACACGCTAACAGCAGCGTCATTGGGCCATTCTTCGCTGTCGTACACCAACCGCGCCAGAACAGCTGTTTGCTCCGTTATAAATGACACCGTGATAGCCAGTCGTGCTGCAGAGTCAGCACGGATAGCCATTGGTCTGATGCGGTGTATCCCGGATGTCCAACTCAACGGTACGACATGGACTGCGTTACTTGGACGAACCATAGTCGCGATTCAAAGTCCAGCGACTGATGATGTTGACGTGATACACCAAGCCTTCGTCGTCTCTGGAATTTTCGTGTCCTGGTGTGAATGTGGCCACGCCGCATCGAGCCTTGCCGCTCAGGCTCGTGGTTCTTTCAGATTCGGTGAGGGTCGATTGGGTCATGGCTCTTCGTCACGCGAATTGATTTCAAACTGGCTGTATAGTGCTGCTGCCGAATGCTGGATCATTCCATACTAGATGCCCCATGCTCTGTTCATCAACCAACTGGGTTCAAAAAACATGTGTACAACGAAGGCTGCTTTGATCCTCATCCTTGTTCGTCATCCTCGGCAGGGACATCTGTAATTCACCCTGACAAAAAACAACACCATCATGGGTGATTCTTCAGACCCTACAGACACGTAGAGGTTTAGATGCTTTGGTAGAAAATACAAGCAAACCACAGGGTGATCTTCGTCGGTTTTAGGGATAGAGTGTAGTGTGATACTGTACGTAACTTCGGTGCGCCACTAGTCCATCAATGCTGCGGCTTGCTACATGGGCTGTACAGACTCAATCTTCGCGTGTCTTAACGGATTATTACCCCCTTGATGTAACCCGTCATGTAACCAGATCCGTAGTACCTCGCTTGAATTCGGAAACATCAATAGCATGGTGTGTTAAAGCCGAGGTCTCTACTCGTGGTCGGAATGGTTTAGGACACCGTATCTCGATCTTGCCGCCTACCATGTGATGCTGGCAGCACCACTCTACATGTGTATAAATTGCTCATTATTTTGACCTAAACCTTTGCACGCATGGATTCTCGTAAGGTGAAAGTAGTGGCTCACCGGTGGCCACCACGTCCTCGACGAGGGAGATTTGAATAGTCTGCTGGATGATACGCAGGAGCTCAACAATATTACTCTACAGATGGGTCTTCTGTAAGTGGTTCAATGTTCGGCATATCCAAGAAAGTTGCACTCGCTGAACCACTGTGTTGGTTTCTGCAGATGGGCGAGCGAGTGTAAGCCTGACGTGAGAGTTCGTATTCTCACCGACAAAGAAATGTCACAGATATGGTGTCAGAATGAGAAACAGGAATGATGAGTGACTAGCAGGAACAACAGTACAAATGTGAAACCCTAATCTGGTGTACCCCCTATGGTGTGACCCACTACAGCCTAGAACCACACAAACATATATTGTTTGACACACCCCCATAGGCAAAGTGGGGGAGACCTAGGGGTCACAAGACCAGTCAAGGCAAAGCAAGGTAAACAAGCTCAGGGTGGATCTCGAGGATTCCACACAAATTCCGAGCACAAGCAAGCGGTCACAAGACCAGTTCACATGCAGTTTTATAGTAGAGCAAGAGGCACAATGATCACAACCTAACAAGGCAAACATTCAGGTATATATATATAATGATCACAGTACAGGCAAAGTCAAGAAGTAAGCAAGTGAGGAACAGTCGGCACAAGGCCTAGAAGAGTGCAAAAACGCTGATGGTCAACAGGCGGAAGCGCCTTGGTGAACACATTGTGAGAGTTGTAGATCAGGAATGAAATGACTAAGGAAAGATTGGGTACAAATACAACCCTAGAAACCTGTACCCCATATGTGCTACCCCAGTATAGCCTACAGCAACTATGTCATATAAATCTGACACACCCCCATAGGCAAAGTGGGGGAGAACAAGGGGTCACAAGACCAGTCAAGCAAAGCAAAGCAAAGCTCAGGGTGGATCACAAAGTCACCACACAGTCCGAGCACAAGGTCAAGGCCACAAGGCCAGTTCACATGCAGCAGAGCATATATATATAACAGTGCTAAACAAGCAAGAGCAAGGATATATATATGCAGCAGTACAAGCAAGGTCAAGAGGTAAGCAAGTGAGGCCCAGTGGGCACAAGACCTAGCAGAGTGCAAAAGCGCTGATGGTCACGAGGCGGAAGTGCCTTGGTGAACACATCAGCAGTGTTGGCCTCAGTGGCCACGAAACGCAGGAGAAGCTGACCACGCTGCTGCAGCTCTCGAGCAAGGAAGTAGCGCAGAGCAATGTGCTTCGTCCTGTGCTCCAGTCTGTGCTCCTGACACAAGGCAATAGTTGCCTTGTTGTCGACGTACAGCACTGGAGGAGAACGAGGCCGCTCTCCAAGGTCAGTCAGCAGGTAGGTGAGCCAGCGAAGCTCCTGGGCAGCCATGGCCGTGGCGTAGATCTCAGCCTCACAGCTGGAGCTGAGAACCGAAGAAGAGCGAGTAGAGCGCCAAGAGACAGAGCCAGAGCCAAGACTGAAGGTGTAACCCTGAGACGACCTCTGAGTAGCCTGGTCGTCAGCCCAAGAAGCGTCTGAGTGCCCAGTGAGTACAGGCCGCTCACGCCCTCCAAGCACTAGCCCCATGCCCGACGTACTGCACAAGTAGCGCAACACCCTCTTAGCTGCATCCATGTGCTCCTTCCGGTGACGGCCGGGAGCGACATAGCGTGCTAAGATGCTGAGAGGGTATGCGAGGTCAGGTCGAGTGCAGGTCATCAGGTACATGAGGCAGCCCACAAGCTCTGGATACGGACCACTCGACTCTACGGACTCATCCGAAGGCAGAGCTGAGAGCGAGTGTCCCGTAGGCAGAGGAGTGGACTGAGGCGAGGAGTACGTGAAGCCGAAGCGCTGAAGGACCTGCTGCACCATGTGTGACTGAGTCAGGGTAATGGTGCGGCGTGCTCTGTCCCGGGTGATCCGCAAGCCAAGATAGCTTGTCAGTTCACCCAGGTCTGTGCACGTGTGTCTCTTCTGCAGCTCGGACTTCACGTGGGCGAGTGCGGCAGTGTCCGCAGTGGCAAAGACCAAGTCGTCGACGTACACGAGGATGTAGAACGGCGGCAGTGAGGTGTCGGTGCGCAGAAACAGCGACGGGTCAGCAGTGGAAGGAGCAAACCCAAGAGCCGCAAGTGTAGTCCTCAGTGTGTCGTGCCACTCACGCGGCGCCTGGCGGAGACCGTAGACTGGCCGCCGGAGGCTCCACTGGGTACCAGGAGGGAACGACCCAGTGAAACCAGGAGGGCGGCGCAGCCAGATCTCCTCGTGCAGGCGACCCTGCAAGAAAGCAGTGCTGAAGTCAAGAGAGTGTAGCTCGTAGTCACGCTGAGCAGCGACGTGCAGCAGAACCCGAAGAGTGGTCATCTTCGGGGTCGGGGAGAAAGTCTGAAAGAAGTCAACTCCCTGTCGCTGACTGAAGCCACGAGCCACGTAGCGCGCCTTGAAGACAGGCGGAGAACCCGGCGGCCGCTTCACCCTGAAGATCCACATGCCACTGACAATGTTCGCCCCAGGAGGGGGAACAGCGTCAACGTAGGTGCCTGTGGACTTCCAGGAAGCCATCTCTGCGTCCATGGCTGACTGCCACTGAGAGGAGTAGGGACCGGCCATCGCCTCTGCGTAAGAGCGTGGGGTCGGGATGTCTAGAGCATCCGGGTCTCCCTCAGGGGCAACAAGCATGGACATGAGATGGGGCAAAGCGGCGGCAAAGCACTGGAACTCCTCCTGCCTGTCCTCAAGGACGTCCGTGCCAAGAGCACAGTCACCCCCGACGGACGGAGGATAGGCAGA